TACTCACTTTAAGWCTGTCTGCTAGAAAAGACTCCTACAATTTTCTCAGATTTTTTTTCCACTGATCTGATCCCCAGATTAGCAGTCTTTGACCTCACTTAAAGTCAGAAGRCATTTCTCCTAGAATAAACCACATGCAACTGAAAAATGTATTGTATTAATTTTTTTAAATGAAATCTTGTGGTGAAGTGGCTTTTGCCAGGATTTTGCACTTTGTTTCTCTCACTTTAGCAAATAGCAATCGCGAGGGAAGGGGACCTGCTGACCAAGGAGCGCCTCTGCTGCGGCCTGTCCATGTTTGAGGTTATCCTGACGAGGATCCGCTCCTTCCTGGACGATCCCATCTGGCGTGGGCCCCTGCCCAGCAAYGGGGTGATGCACGTGGATGAGTGCGTGGAATTCCATCGCCTCTGGAGCGCCATGCAGTTCGTCTACTGCATCCCCGTGGGAACACACGAGTTCACTGTGGAGTACGTACTGCCAGCTGCCAGCAGCCCCCGGGCAACAGTGCCTGGCTTGTCCTCCTGCCGGTGGCAGCGGGGCTGGAACGGAGGTGTTGTGTGCCTGGCTGCAAGAGCGTAGTGCAAAACCAGGGAAAAGTGCTGCCATCACCGGGAGGGGCTCGTAATCCACCAGCACAGAGATACTATTGTGTCTTTAGTGAAAATAACCCTCTATTTTAAATATTGCCAGTGTATAATGAATGATCTGGTGACAGGCACGCCTTAGCACTTGTCTTTCAATAGGGGTCATACCCCTATAGACACCCAGCTTAAATAAAATAGCAGAATACTTGTGCATCTATCTTTAAAAAGTATTCTTTTTCTGAATTAACAGCAAGAATGAGCACTTGGAATTTAACATGATTAATATGGGTTAGCCATCTTAACATGGTTAACATGAGTTAACCAGGAACTGTTGGTTGTTCTTGGTTTTGAGAATATCCTCATTTTGATAAACTSTTGAGCTGTAACATGCTTTTTACTGAGCAATTAGAAAACAGCATAGGACATTTGCTTCCTTTCATGCCTGCAACCTAAAGAAGCAGAGTGGTGTTGAATTCCTGCTTTGTTTTCTTTGAAAGCATTGTTTCCATTGAAAATGAAATGTAATGCCACAGGAGTCTAATGGGGAGTAAATGTTTTTGGAATAATTCAGTTATGTAAAATTGAAGGAGGAGGGGAGTTCTGYTTTTTTTGTTAAGCATCCATTTGCCTGTGGTGTCTCCAATGATAATCAATATACCAGAGCTTTTGCTTTCTAGATAAATGTCTAATGTATTTATTGTTTAGTGGGGTGGCTGATTACCGAGTGTTTATTGTGACTGTGTTGTGAAGATGTAGGTGAAACCTGCTCTGTGTTYCTGTTTCAGGCAGTGCTTTGGGGATGGTTTGCACTGGGCCGGCTGTATGATCATCGTGCTTTTGGGGCAGCAGCGGCGCTTCGATGTGTTGGAYTTCTGCTACCACCTGTTGAAAGTTCAAAAGCACGATGGCAAAGATGAGGTTATCAAGAATGTGGTGAGTTGGAAAACATCTGTATTGGCTGCAGTAATAACGACAACAACAACTCAGAATTGTTTGTACTCGGATGCAGTGTAGATGTGGCAATMCTTTTTTAAGAATAAATTGCTCAAAATGAGGGCATCAGGATTTTCAGAAACAAAGGATTAAGGCATTAAGGCTGGAGTTTGAAGACTGGTCAAGCAGAATTCTGGTGTCACAAATATATGAGATTTTCTTAATGCTTTCCATCTCATGTATGTTCATTCCAATAATGACCAGCTTGAAACTGAGCTTCTTGGTACCCAAAGCGGCGTCAAAAACCAAAATGCATGTTGGATTTCCACTGGCTTAGCAGTGCAAGGGAAACATTTGTAACATTGCTGGGAGAAATGGGGTAACAGCATTTGTTGCTTTTCTGGCTAAGGCTCTTCATATCCAAAGCTAATTCCTGTGTCTGTTTTTTTGATGTTTGCAGCCTTTGAAAAAAATGGTTGAGAGAATTCGCAAATTCCAGATTCTGAATGATGAAATAATTGCTATTTTGGACAAGTATTTGAAGTCCGGCGATGGAGAGAGCACACCCGTGGAACATGTGCGCTGCTTCCAGCCACCAATTCATCAGTCCCTCGCCAGCAACTRAATTCTCACCTAACAATACCTTTTGCACCTATTTAGGCTAAAAGTGTGAGGAAAAAAGCAAGAAACAAAACCCACACCAACAGTTTTAAGGAATACTCTCATCTGTATTTTTCAGTATGCCTGTGCCATTTGAGTGGCACACTGTTCTCTCCAGTCTCCAAGCACAGTAACTGTATACAATCCATACTTATTTTTCTAGACTAAAATTTTATACACTTTGATTAAAAGCCTGTAAGATTTTTGAAATCTCCTTGCATTCCTGTCCTGAGGTGGCCATTTTAGACYGGACTGGTATAATTTTCCCCTGAAAAGCTATCAAAGTAATGGCTGTGGAGGATAAAAAACGATTCTGTAGAAAAAAAATTTTAGAAATCAATGCATAATTGTTTGTATTAGAGCCTTAATTGCTTAATTTGCCTTTATTAAAAAAAAAACAGAAAAACAACAAAACAAAACAAACTCTGCTGGTGCTTTGTGAATAATTTTCTAGTCAGTTGATTCTTTTTCCTCTTTGCAAAACTATTCTCAGAGATCAGTAATTATGGAAATGAAAGCTAATTGAAGTGTTTGTTTCAAATTTATGTCACATGGAGGGTGACAGGATTCTGATGTTTTTACAAGGTAGAAGTTTAATTAGAATGGGACCTGTTTACCTTTTCCTAATGAGAGCTTCTAATACAATTTATATTTTAGCTAGCAATATATACCCACGTACCCAAACACATTTACAAGCAATAAGGAATTCTTGTTTACAAGAATCTTGACTAGAGTGATCAGGTGTAATCTATTCCAGTACATAAACTCTRATGATGTTAATCATGATTTATTATGGAAAGTACTTGTTCAATCACACTTGCTGTATTATGCAAACCCTGCATCAGTAAAATTGTAAAACTACAATGATAAAAGTTTAATTTTAAAGCAACTCATTCAGCCAAAAGTAGTAACTCCTGCTTGCGTACTCCAGGATGCTATCAGTTGGCTTTGGGATCAGCCCTAACCAAGTTGTTAAGATGACCAGAACAGACACAGATGGATAATTACATGTTTTACCCAGGATATGGATTTATGGAGATGTTACTTGGTAATGTTTCTAGCCCATGGTGTGAACCCAAGAATGCATCCCTCTAAGAACCTGTTTTGCTCCTKTCCCTCTTACTAGTTTGTGGTTAGGTTACAGCATACTTTTTCTCCTGYTCAGCTCTTTCCCGGTGCTTCACAGCCATGGAATTGACTCCAGCAATGGGTAGAAATCAGCTTCTGACAGGAGAGATGCACAGGAAGTGAGGAATATGGTAGGTAGTGGAGTGGCAGAGAACTCAATTTTGAGGCAAGAAATTAACTGAAATTTCCTCAGTTAAACAGAGGTTGGAGATTTTCCAGGCAATCTATCAGCAAGTTTCCACAATCACAGGTTTTSCCAGGACATCTGTGCTTGAGTGCTACCATTCTGGAGTGGTGTCTGTCATGGTGAGAGTGCACACAAGGCTGCCCTGTGTGTGGGAGACAGAAGTCAGAAGCACTTGTACTTTGTTACGCCAGATTGTTGAAGGATTTCTTTTACAAGGTGTTTAACAGATGATTTTAAGAAACATTATTTTAGTTTGCAGAGGACTGTTGGTCAGCTAGATTCTTCCCTGTACTTCAGGTTTCAATTCAGAAAATGAACAACTTTCCTTATTTGACATCATCATGGGTTTAGGGTATCTCACATACCTGAGGCTTTGGCTTGGCACTGGTGCAGAAATGGTTAATTACTAAAGCCTGATTATTTTTTTTTGTTTTTTTTTTTGTTTAAGAACTATTTAAAAATAACTAATCAGGATGTGAATAATTTCTAATTCTTACCAGTTAACTTTTAGCAGTAAGAGACTTGGTCTCTGAACATCTTAAAACTATTAGCTTAAATACATACTTTATGAACACTGAGAAGAAAAAAGTTTAAGACATTTCAGACATAAATACCTCCTAGGACTAGTTTCCCTTTTTTAAAATGTAGATCTTTTTTTTCAACGATTGTAGACTTGAGAGGAGCTAAATATTCTTTGCCTGGTGTTACCTTCTCTAATCTAAAAGGAAAAACACAGCAAGATGCACAAAAGGTGTAACTTTTTCATTTTTAGTTAGTTCTCGTCAAAAACTAGAGGCCTCTTGTCTGGAGGCCAAAGTGCCCATCAGCACAGAAAGCAGCAGACTGTTCTGTGAAATGATTACCTGCTCCAGGCTGCTGCTTTGATATTAGAACAGGCAACCCCACAGCTATTCCTCAGCTGTTTGATGTCTTCTTGCTTGTCCCTGGTTCTTGTGCTGGTTTTTGCGCAAGTACTGGAGGGACTTTTTCCCCTGACTGAGCACTGCTGACGTGATGTCCCTTTTGATTAGGTAGATCAAATCCTGTTTTTCAGACAGAATTTAAAAACCTTTTTCTTGTTTGTCACCTTTGCCCCTCCTCTATGTTATGGCAGCAGTATTTTGTTTCACAGATGGTAAACTTGGTCTTTTTTTCTGTCCTAGGAAAAGTCTCCATTTCTCTTAAAAACTAAGGAGTAAACCTGACAACATCCAGCAGTAATTATTAATCTCTGTCCCAACTTTCACAAGCATGGTAGAAATGTTCTTATATAAAACATATACAAAACTTCTGTATATAAAACCTCTATATATATTTAAAAAMCCCTTTTTATCTATATATAAAATCTCTACCACCAATTTTTATTTTCTGCCTTTACRAAATTAAATTACCACCTACCTGCCTCACCCCCCTTTTTTTTTAAGCAATAACATTAGTGTTGCTCTTTTTTTGGCTCTTTTTGAAAAATTCAATGTCATAGCCTGTGCCAGCATTGCTGCAAAAAAAAAAAAAAATAGCAGTTCTGAGTTCGAGCTGTAACATTAGGAACACAGAACAGGTCTGCAGAGCCAGGGCAGCATGGTGCAGCACAGACACGACCTGACCTCTTTTACTGAAGAGGAAACAGCTTCTGTGGCTACTGGTAATGACTCAGATCCTTCCTTCTACATAAATTGTCATGGCAGGAGCTACCACCTCACCTACCCAAACAGAGCAGAAGTTCCTCCCTTCTTGTTTCTGCCAGCCAGTTAATCTGATTTCGTAAAGGTGGGGGTTTTTTATGCAAATCCAGCAAGTTTTTCACACAGCTTTACCTAACCAGTGTTTTCAAAGCATCAGTTGTCCTCGGTTATAGCTTTCCCTTTTCTCTTTCACAAACTAGGACAGGAGCAGTTGCTGCAGCTCCTGTTTCAACATGGTTACAGTCACTCCATGGTCAGTCAGGGCACAAGTACAAAAGGATCCAGGTTCACTGCAACCTTTTTACCACCAATGCAGAAATAAAGCCATTTATTTTTGATAAAATTGTCATTAGTGCAATACATCTTAAAAACAGAAGAATGAAATGAAAGTATTTACACATAACTTAAGCAACACAACCAATTGTGGTCTGAGGTCATTTTAGTACTTTTTAAAGTAAAAATAAGGCAAAAAAAAAGTTTCAGTGTTCTTTATCCAAACTAATCAAACTTAAAAATCAACGATTGTCTACACATACTGTTAAAAAGTACATAAATTTCCAGACAAGCTCAGACATTTCACAGCAGAAAAAAAAAATTCCAGGGTTACAGAATTGTTCTTTTCATAAGTAACACRTGGGTATTTTTAGAAGGCTGACAGACTTCCATTTCTCCTGGCTGAGAGACTCTCAGTGGATTGCATTTCACCTAGGCAGGCAGAACTTTCTTCATCATTATGAAAGCTGTCGTATGTGTTCAGCAAAGTGCCATTTGCTGCTCTGTCATCCTTCCGCAGAGAGAGGGGCAGGTTTGCTAGGGTGAAGTTAACATCTTTGAAGGCATGCAATAAAAAGATCCCCACAATAATCGTCAGGAAGCCACTGAAGGTGCCAATAATGTCATCAGCCGCCATGTGTTGCCATTCCTTGAAAAGGATGGCAGAACAAGTTAAAACAGATGTTGTGAAGATTACATAATATATTGGAGTCACTATTGAWGTGTTGAATATATCCAGAGCCCTGTTTAAATAGTTGATCTGCGTGCTCACACAGACAGTAAGGCTTAGCAGCAGAATCCAAGACAAGGGATGCTTCAGAACTGGTTTTCCYGCGAAAAGTTCCTTTATAGCGATGCCCAAACCTTTTACACAGGAGACGGATAAGGCTCCGATTACAGAGCAAATCGTTATGTACACGAGAATGTTGGTCTGTCCATGACGAGGTCCCACCACRCATATTAGAATTAAAGACACAATGACAACAAGCGTTGCGAAGACCACAAAACCTGTGGTTGGGGGAAAAAAAAAAACTTGTTATTTATAGACACTAACTGACACGCTTGTTACTTATGGACACTGTTTCTCAGAAACAGGGATATTTATCTTAGAAATACAGACTACAGAGCAAACACTCATTAACAATGGGACCAACAGTTTAAACAGAAGAGCTCAGGATGTTTCTCATTACTGCTCCAACATCACAGTTAAGATGATTTTAGAATGAGCTAGCCAAAACAAGGAATGTACCTCAGGCATGTTGTATTACCTTTACCAGTCTATTGGCAAGAATGGCTACAAGATTAGATTGCTAAACTGCCTTACACAYACACTCACTGAGGTGTAGATGCCACTGGACACAGGCTTGAGCCTGAATTGAATTTTCTTTAGGAGATAAGTTCTGGCATCCAACTGTATTCATCAGCAGGTTTCCAACGATCAGGTCATTCCTTAAGAAAAGCTTTTTAATCTCTGCTGGCTATTTCCTCATGTTTAAGATGGGCACTGCCTTTGTACAATTAATATTTTGCAGATTTGCATTTGTGAATGCCTTATCTTCCACACAGGCAGAGCAGCTCATCTCTAGGATTTTACTTCTCAGCAGACACTTATCACAACACCTACTTTTTCATTTTAAGGAGAGCTCAAAGTTGGCTTGGAGACAGCACACTTCAATCAAAAGTTATAGAAGTTTTGTTTATCYGCCTGCACTTCACTGACCATTGTTTAAACAAAAGCCATGAGTGGTTGCCATGAGGGCACTTTATTCAAGGCCAGACAAGTTCATTGGCATCATGCAAACTTCCCTATGGAATTATGTTACAGAATTCAAATCTCTMCTTCATTTGGACAGTATGTCCACATGAAGCACACACAGGCCATCTTCCTGGAACTTGAGGGCAGCAGTAATGAAACTACAATGAAGAAATGATGGGCTGTGTATGTATCAAGCCAGCATTTTTCCTTACCTGGATCCCCTAGTTTGTGGGACATTTCATCCAAAGTTTCTACTTCTTCCTCTTGAGGAGCATGTATCACCATCACTGTTGATCCCAGTATACTTAACAAACACCCTATTTTTCCATGTAAATTAAGTTTTTCATTTAAAAAGAAGGATGACAGAATGGCACTAAGAAATAAAAAAGGCACCATTAAACACAGAATTAGTAATATTCATTTGCTCATGAACTTACAGGCTATTTTAACTGTACAGGTCACTTGCACAGATAATGGGAGCTTTAAAAGAGCTACTATTTTCTGTCTCAAGGTGCCTGCTATGGACAGAACTACCTGCCAATATTTGGCATCTCTGCCCAGAACCGCTTTTTTWTGCTGCCTGCCAAAAAATGCTGTGTCTAAAAACTTGCAAAAATAATTTTAGAAAGGCAAAAATATTTACTTAGGAAAAAAAATACTGCTTTGTTGTAATCACCATGTTTTTTAAATGCAGAAGAAAACAGCTTTTCAGAGATGGATGCAGATACACTGCTAGAACCCTTTTAGATCAGTCACTACATATTTGCAGAAACTTTAAAAGTTACTCCTGACATTTTTTTAGAAGCACTCTTATTTATTGTGAAGAACAAACCCCAATTATTACAGCATAGTTCAGTGACATATTTCTGAATAAATTTTTAGTTTTACTAACTAATAAAGTTTTAGTTTTCTCTCTCAAATCACATGCTTTCTGTTAGTATTTCTTACCTTACAAGAACACTGAGAGCTCCTAGGGGAGTCACTAATGTAGCTGGTGCAAAAGCATAGGCAGCAAAGTTTGCAACTTCGCCAGCTCCCACTGCAGAGGAACAGGAATTAAAACCCACGAGTTAGGCTGTCTCATACAACAAATCTCTGATGCAGGGCAAGTGTTCGTGTAGACACAAACATGCAGCAAGGGAACAATGGAAAATTCTAATGATAGCATTCAGCTAACAGTACTAGCAGAACACACCTCTGCCCCTCTCCCCCACTATTAAATTTTAAAAAGAGGCTGTGGAACTGCAACAGGTACTAGAATTAATTCTACCAAATCAGAATATGTTCTATTTTAATATCTAAGTTGTAGCTCCCCATCCTGCCAGCTTGATTCATGAACTTCTGCATGGTGAAATCTGCAATAGCAGGATATAGCACAGCACAGACAGTAAGCCATAGTCATCTCAATACAGCCAGTAAATGGAGAGTTTAAGCATAAAAAAAAATAGAAAACAGGTATAATGCCAAAACATGCTTCCCTTTAAGAAATCCTACATATCTAAGTACTTCTCTGATAAAACAAAAACTAGAATGCATACAATAAGAAAGACATACAAAACCACTGTCTGCTTAGTTCCACTGCACAAAGAGGGCAGTTACATTAAACAAACAACCTCTGGTGTGAGAGAAGTTATATTAAAATAATTAGAACTGTAYGCATCAAATCACCAGATAACATTACCACGTATTGTAGAATCCCAATCTCATTCTCTTTTTTGTAACCATGCTGCCATCTGTGGCATAGTTATTTATTAAAATTATATATGCAGAATGTATTTTTGAAACTTAGATGARTTATTTTTTATACTTACTTGAAAGAAGTCCAGCCCACCACAGCCACTCCTTAAGGTATGCATGACCACCTTGACCTAAAATTGAAGGAATGTTGGCTACTCAACTAAAAACATCAATACCCCATCACTAGTAACAATGCCATACATAAAATAATTTTTGCAACCTATGCCCTTAAAAACATAAGCAGCCTTTTGCTACCTAGGCTTTCTAGGTAGAGGGGTTGAAATCAAAGCATCTTCAATTTCTGATGTACATGTGCCTCCTACACCCTACTTTGATAACCAGTTATTTTATTTCTTTTGTATTAGAAATGGCATTGATGATCATATCTGCATTACCCTAGGAATCAGTTCTTTCAAATCACTGAAATGACATGAAAAGCCAACTTATGTGTCTCTTAATAAGACTAATACTCTGTGGAAACTGTGCATGGTTTGTATGTGGTTGATTACATGTGCAAACATCACATTTTCTCATTTCAAACCAGGGTGGCATGAATTATGCATCTCAAGATCAACCATCTTTTAGAAGCAAAGATGACAGGTATTGAATTAATAATATTCAGAGTCAACCTTTTGAATGATATGATGATGGTGCAACTATCCTACCCAAATCAATCTTCTTTCAATTTAAACCACTGTCCCTTGTCCTGTCAYTACAGGCCCTTGTTAAAAGAAAAAAAATCTGTGTCTTTTTTATAAGCCTCTTTTAGGTATTGGAAGATGTCTCTATAAGGTGTTCCAAGACTTTTCTTCTCCAGGCTGAACAATCCCAACTCTGTCAGCCTATCTTCATAGAAATATTCTGTCCCGAATCATTTTCATGGCCCTTCTCTAGACTTCCTCCAACGGGTCTGTGTCCTTCTTGTGCTGAGGACCCCAGAACTGGGTGCAGCACTGCAGGTGGGATCACASCAGAGCAGAGCAGAGCAGAGGGGCAGAATSTGCTCCCTTGCCCTGCTGGTCACACCTGAGTTGGACACRTTTGGCTTTCTGGGCTGTGAGCACACATTGCTGGGTCATGTCCAGCCTCACCCACCAGCACCCACAAGTTCTTCTGGGCAGGGCTGCTCTCCATCTGTCCATTCCCCAGCCTGTGTTGATACCRGAGGTTGCCCTGACTCAGATGCAGCATCTTGCTCTTGTTCTTGTTGAAACTCATGAGGTTTGCACAGACTCATTCCTCAAGCCCATCCAGGTCCCTCTGGATGCCACTTCATTCTCTCCAGAGCATCAGCTGCCCCACTCAGCTTGGTATGATCCACAAGCCCGCTGCCAGCATACTCAATCATTCCCACTGTCTGTATCACCAATTAAGATACTAAATAGCATTGCTTCCAGTATGAACCCTGGAGGAACACTACTCATCACACTCAATTACTACACGTGATTTTTAGTTTTCTAAAACAATCTCCTGACACCCAAACACAGTTAACACTCTCTTAAATCCACTCACTCAARAGCACAGACATAGTTAAGAGTGCTGCTTGCAAGTTCAATTTGCAAGTACAATTTAGACTTAACTGACATACAAAGGAATCCTTTGACAAATGTCCCCAGGGGGCATTACATATGAATTAAATATAGCATGTGTAACACACAGAGTCAGGGCTATCTGACACCAGAGAAAAAGCACATCAGCTCTATGTTTTAGGTTTCATATAYGTGTAACAAACCAACGAAGAAGTCAAAAACAATGAACTAATGAACAGAAGTGACCTGTTACACAGCAAAATCTAAACATCAGCAATTTATTAATAGATGTACGTATTTACCTGCTCTCATGGAGCCTTTCCTGGCTAACCGGAGGAGTCCTTTCTTTTTCAGGATGAAACTTCCTCCAATGAAAATGCTGGAACTCATAGCCAACACCAGACCTATACAGAAGTCATACTTCCCACGAGTTTGGCTCATCTCGTAAACTACTGAACACTGTCACATTGATCAGTGAGGAGTAGAACTTCTGTTACTCAACAAAGATGATGCAATGCTGAAACATGAGCAAAACAAACATATTAGAATTAAGCTGGGAGAAATATATGCTGTATAGGAAAATCCTCAAYGGCTCATGTGACTGGTTCTCCTGTAAATGACCTCTGCTAACAATGGCTGAAAAAAAAAAAAATCCAATCTTTGAAGCATGTGTAAGCTTGCACCATGGATGAGTAACTAACACGTTTGAACATGGAAAGGGAAGGGTTTCTGACCTGGCATATAAACYGAAACCCAAACAAGTAAAAATTCTTTGAGAAATTTTAAGAACTTTTACAAATTTGTCACTTCTTTTTCTTTTCCTTGAGCACACTGATTTGTGTCTGGCACATCATCTAACTGATTATACTGATCAAAAAATTACTTACATTGAAATCAGTTTGTAATAGAGTTTGAGAACAGTTGCAGCATTTCATCCATATAAACGTCCTAGAAAAATGAAAGAGAATATTAGAAGGATGTTCAATCATATAGCCATCTTCATAATACAAAAAAAAACCTCACATGCATGCCCATGCAATAAGTCTTTAACAAACAGGACAATCTGGCAAGAAAGAATGCTTTTGTTTGTTGATTTATTTAACTGAATTTCCCATATGTGTATGAAGCACTTATTTCTTTAAAACCTTCTTTCTTTCAATATTCMTTTTCCCTGTAGTTTCATGCTTTCAACTTTGATTAATTTGCTATATATCTAGGAAAACCTAGCAGAGAGCTACTAGTAGGTTAGCATTAAAACTGAACACAGATCCTCTTACTTGCATCCAGTTAGGTTATGAAAAAGTACAGGAAGACAGTAAGCACTCAACACAGCGCTGCTCAAAATGCTGCGAGAGCCACAGTTCAAAATTCTCAAATCCTTTTCCTTAATAATTGCAGAGTCATTTTTAATATCTTACTTTGTAGGAGAAACTAGGTAAATGACCTGCAAKAGAGTGCTTTCACTTTCTAGCAATTTTTAAAAATAAACTAGATCCTTGCATGTCAAAAACTACTTCTCAAAAAACCATCAGTGTATGAGACAAACCAAACCCAGCCACCTCACCAACCACATCCATCCAAAACACCATCCTGGTTTTGAATTCAAACGACTTTCAATCCCTTCCTTCAATGCAAGGAAAACATGTAAGACTTCTGTGACTGYTCTTTCTGCCATCTGTTCTAGCAGGTGTAAGGCACACCGTTCAGGTAATCGAGCTCCAGCTGATGCAAAATGTGACACTGCTATAGCATCACCTGRGGGAAAAGGGGTTGGTTTTGCTAAGCTTTTTACTTCACCAGATTTTTCAACGTTTGCTACTTCAGTTATATTTCTAAWCGGATTATTTTTACTAGTGTAGCTTTTCACTAAAAGATAACTCTCCATATTGGTAAAGACACATTTTTTTCCCCTTTTCTTCTCTCCCTGGCTGAGGGAGGAAAAAGAGCATCAGTTAGTCCCATCCTGACACCTTCCACCCACTGCATTCCAGAAACAAGGGAGAGGCACAGGCTGTTTTTCTTTTCGGCAGAGGAAGAATTTGATTGCAAAAGAATGAGGAAATTTGTGTGCTGACAGGTAACTTTATGAATTTAGACTCAAAAAGGATGCTACACTTCAATACTAGTAGTTCTACATTGCCCTATGTCCCAAATACACTGAAGTGCCCTGTCAACCACTTAGTTAACCTTGYAAACTACTCAAATCTCAAACACTTAAATTACAGAAATTCAGATAAACTCCCACCTCTTCCCATCAAACTTATTTGTCCTCACAGACATGGCCAGTCCCATTTCTGCTTGGGCTGGACTCCCTTGTTTCCACCCAAGGTTTATTCAGATGCCTACATCTGCAGGCAAATGTCATCACAATCACAGTGAACCCARCTTCTCCCTGAAGAGATGTGGTTCCCTTTGCATACAGCACAGATATAATTTGCATGTGTAGTACTGACGTATGCAAGGTCAAAGGCACCAGGCACCAGAAGTTTTACATTTTAGGAAATCAGGACTCTAATTCTAATCCTGAGACTTAATAAAAGAAGAACTATTGCATTATCATAAATGCAATCAAGTAAAATTATCTATGGGCATGAGAAAAGAAAATGCCATGAAATGAGCAGTTTCTGGAATAAATACGCCTCTCATGTTTCTGCCTTGGGATGTGCCAAAGCTGTTGCATTCCAGCAGCCAGAATGACTACTAGGTTATAAACAGAGAGAAGCCAGAAAATGTAGGAGTTAAATAAAGCTGGCAGTCGTGCAGTTCTGCAGAAGTTCTTTAATCAAGTTCACAGCTGATTTTAACACATAGAACATTTCATCCACTCAAGACCAGCAGTGTCACACAGGAGTACTAATTTCCTGCTCTCATTTCAGGGAAGTAATCAAGGGATGAGACTCTCCTATCCACAGAAGCTACAATATCTACCATGCCTCCCAGAGCCACTCATTAATGAACTGCCTGAGGATCTGCTGGTGTCATGAATCATAACTCTCAGTGGGCAACACTGCAGTGACAGAACACACAGGGAACTGGGTTTGAAGGTTACCAGACAGGGACAGATAGATAAACTCAGAATGAGAAAAAAAAGTGTGGGAGAYAAGCAAATCCAGGTTTGCCAACAAAGTTTCAAAGTTTCATCTTATTTTCAAGATGTAACCAAAAAGTATCACAAATGCTAGCAAGATACAGACTCTCTGGTGTAAAACATAGGCTAACACCTGTTTGTCTCTTTGCTCAGAAGTCCTTTTCTCCCAAAACAGCACAAACACAGTCCTCAAGAGCTGTTACATTTATTGTAGCAAGTGAGCTCTCTAAATACTCAGAAATGCTCAAAGTGGTGTAATGAGATAAAATAGTATTTTACAATCAGATCAACATAAGTATGTGGGAGTTATCAGCCAAAGAAAATTAGTATCACTTCCACAAGTTGTACATTCTATGGAAGCAATAATTAGAGCTGGGAAGGGCAGACATGGTACATTATTCCAACTTTGCTTACTTGGCCACAAGYCCTCCAGAGTTCAGTAGACAGTCTTAAAAGACTTGCAAGAAGTAATCTAAATATATGCTAAATTATTTAATTCAGCATATATTTAGCAAAAATCTTTTACAAAACCTGCTCTTTTCAACTATGAACAGGATGCCATTAAGCAAAAAAATTACTTTAACAGGCCATTTACTTCAACCCTTGGCCATGTACTACATGATTCACTGCTGCTCCTCATTATAGATAATTCAGCCAARCTTCTCCCATGAAATACTTGCAAAGAAAACTTCACAAACATGGCAGCCATGCTTTGATGCCATCAGGAAYTTTCATTATCTAATCATCTTCACTTTCACTACCAAAGCCCATCGCGTTTGTCCACTCTGGACTGGAAAAAGATACAAGTCCCTTTATCTTTGCATCCACATATCAACACTGCTCTGCAGGTTAGCTGCTTGGCACCTCCTACTGTGCCAGTCTCTGGGTCCTTTCCCAATAGTATTTTTAAGTGGAATTCCCGAAGCTGTGTACAGTACTTTAGCTTGAGTTATTATCACTTCTGCAATACAGTGGAAGACTGTATTTCTTTTWATATATCCAAATCGGGTGGTTTTCTCAGCCCTTTTTCTGCAGTCACCTACTGCTGACTCATTTTCAACTTCTCTATTAGAATAAACTCCTGCACTTGTACAGCAAATTATTTCTGCCTGGGTGTAATATCTTCCATTTACTCCAATATAAAAACACCWTGTTTTCAGAATGTTTCCTGAAAACATTCAACCAAGATTACACACCGGCAACCCTTCCCTGCCCAATGTCATTGATTATTTCTTTGTCTTTTGAGCCTGATCAATAACATTAAACAGCCAAAGATCAGACATGCCGAAAGATTTTTAAACAAAGGTCTGCTTCGGAAAGATGGTAATACTCCAGGTACAGCCATTCTGCATCTTTTGAACTGTTCTGTGGTATTTTACTGTCAATTCTGCTTATTTACAAGAGCTCCATGACAAGTTTTATGTTTCTAACATTGGAATTAAGCACCTATTTAATGTCCTTCTAGTGAYAAAGCTTGTCATGGAAGAAAAAGGGGTTGAATCAACAAGTTGCTTTAACAAATACATGTTGACTACTACGTGTCAYATTGACTGTTATATGTCACACTGGCTATTATGTGTTCCCTTCTTCCTTTTCACAGGCATAAAACTACAGGAAACAAACAATTCCTAACAAATCAGAAATCCAAATGTTCCGTAATGAGTCTTTAGAAGGCTCATGATACATACCAATTTTGTTCCAAAATCCAGAGGTATTCACTTCTTAAGTATTTCAAAATTAAGTATCTAAAACAGAAGTTAAAAATAACAATTGGCATTTTAAGATTTCAGAAAAAAAAGAAGTCCATTCTTTCATGCTGATTTCATTTTCATGTATGACACACAAGACTTTAAAATGTCTCATCTACATTTAAAAAGTAAGAGGATTTTTGTTTTAAAAACACTTGAATAACAAATCAGTGTGATTTTAGATTTGATCTTCCTTAGATATGTCTTGCCTGAAGCCTTACTTATTTCACCCCTTTGCTTTTCCCCTCACAAATAAAAAAACTAACCTGTGATCTCAGCTACTCTTTAGAAGGTACCATACTGAAGTTGAACTGAAATATTATCATAAACCTTTCAGTTTCATTCTGTAACTAAAGTGCTAAGGAACTTTTATACGGAGTTTTAATTATTGGCTTTGGTATGGTGAGTTTTCAGAGGATGTTTATATAGAAACCATAGAATATGCTGAGTTGGGAAGAAACCACAAGGATCATCAAGTCCAGCTCCTGGCCCTGCATGGGATAGCCCCAAAAATCACAACCATCTATCTGCCTGAACACATACAGTTTGAACTCTGTCAGGCTGGTGCTGTGACCACTTCCCTGGGCAGCCTGTTCCAGTGCCCAACCACCCTCTGGGTGAGGAATATTTAACCAACATCCAACTTAAACCTTTCCTGACACAACTTCAGGCCATTCCCTTGGGTCCTGCCACTGGTCACCAGAAAGAACAGATCAGTGCCTGCACCTCTGCTTCCCCTCATCTCGAAGGTGTAGACCATGATGAGGTCTCCCCTCAGTRTCCTCCATGCTGAACAGAGCAATTACCCTCAGCTGCTCCTCGTATGGCTTCCTCTCTACACTCCTCACCACCTTCACAGCCCTCCTTTGGATATACACAACTCTGGGGCAGTGGGGAGTATGAACACAGAAATATCCTCAGTAAGATTACTCAAATCCCCTAAATACACCTAATTACTAAATCTGAGCCTTCCTCAGACATCTTCCATCACTCACAAACATATATTTTAAACACAGRTATAGAGACAACACTGAAGGACAGATACAACACATGATTAAGATAAAAGAGCTGCCAGTTCAAAACTTAGTCACATGCACTTTTGAAAGGCTAAGATGGATGCACACAGCACCTAAAGATTCTATATACTCTGTTTAGGAAACGATATGTTCAATTTCCCATTGCACATCTGCCCCAATACACAATACAGKTTTCCAGCTCTGTCAAAGTTAAAGACTGCCCAAACTTACACACAATTCTTTACATATTACACATAGGCTATATAAGCTAAAAAAATATTTACGATGTTATATATATGCATATATATGTTAGAAGCACTACCACATGTGCTCAGAGAGCAAAACATACCTTATCCATCCTAAAGTTGCCTATTTTAAGAGGTTTAAGTAAACTATGGGGAAAATGAATTCTTTACAACAGATTTCAGTTAATAAAGCAAAAGCAACAAGCACTCCATTTTATGAAACCAGGAGGAAACAAAAAAAAAGTACATTAAAAACCTATTGTTTGCATGTGCTATTTGTATTTATTCTATAAAAAATTCTATTTAATTAAAGCATTTTCACATAAAGCAAAAAGTATTTTCACTAACACAGTGTTATTCATTAACTGAATACAAACTACAGACAGTGCATTATAGCTGACACTGCATTGACTATTTYCATGGAAAGCTATCAAAATAGAAGCAAGATAAGACTTGCCCCATCTTTGCTGTACCCAGCACCTGAGCTCCACTCTCGTGGGAGGAGTGACCAGCACAGGGTCACTGAAGTTCCACCTTTAGTATTTAATATGGGCTGTTTCAAATTTAAGATAACTCAGGAAGTTAAAAGTCCAATACAGACATTAGTCACTGCTACTCTTTGATATGACTGCTAACCTGTTATAACCTGCTTTCTTTTTGCCAGAATTTTATCATGAGAATTAACTACTTTAACAAAAGCAGAACCASTGTGACAATGAATTCTAAATACAATGATGCTGACGAAACCTTATGGAATAATATTCTATCAACAAAGCTGTTCTCTTCCAGGGGAAAAAAACCCTAACTGTATACAATGAGACACATCAAAAGCATTTAGACAGAAGCACAATGACATACATTTATCATGCTTTCATTACAAACAAAGTTAAAGACACTGTAGTGAAATAGAGAAAGGTGACTGCTTGAAAAATAAAAGATTGGGGGGGAAAAAAACAGGAAGAAAAGAGTTAGAGCCAGGCAACATCTTCACAGTGTATGAATGAACAAAAATCATCACTCTGAATCRTAATCAATTAGGTTGGAAAAGACCTGTAAGATAGAGTCCAACCTATGACCCAACCATCACTGTATCAACAGACCATGGCATTGAGTGCCATGTCCAGTCTTTTCTTAAGCACCTCTGGGGACAGAGACTYCACCAGGTACCTCCCTGGTCAGCCCACAACAATACCTTATCACCCTGTGAAGAAATTCCTSCTGATGTCCAACCTAAACCTCCCCATGGCAAGACAATGAACTAGGATGCAAAACTAAGATGATTTTTTTCACGTCAAAATAAAGCACCAGGGCTCTGAAGTTCTGCTGAAGGTGCTCTGGAACCACGCTGCACAACCATCAAGCTCGGATAAGTCAGCCCTGGACCAAACCGAAGATGAACCGGTTTAGCTCCCTGGTTAAGCACACGCACGAACTCCCATACGAGGCACGGAGGTTCCGGAGAACGGGCAGACCCAGCACACAGTACCTGGACACTTCTGCCCGGTGGGAGAACCCTCCACACAACCCGATGTAGCGCTTTTAATCTCGACCTTCTCAGACCAAACCACACCAAGTTTCCCACCACGGAGAAACCCCCTTGGGTTCGTGTAGCCAGACTCCAGGCCCGGAGCCCCGCGCCCCCCGGCCCGCTCGCTCCTCACCCGCAGCGCCCAGGGCCTTGCGCCGAGCGCTCCGCGGGGAAGGAGCTCCGCCTTCCCCCGCCCCCCGAGGGGCCGGCCAGGCCCCCTCCCCGCCTCTCTGCCCCGTTACCTGGGTCACGGCCCCTCTCACATCTCCCCCGGGAGCGGCGAACCGAGAGGAGACGGGGGCGGGGGAGGCCGGAGCGGGCGGCGGGAAGAGCGGGTGGCCGAGCGCTCCAGCGCCATGAGGGGACAGGACGGGAGGGCCCGGCAGCGCAAGGCGAGGCGGTGTCCCGGCCTCGGCCGCCCCCTCCCCTCCGCGGTTCCGGCAGCGGCCGCCGGAAGGGGCGCGGTCCGGCCCCGAGCCCCGCCCGCCGCGGGTCACATTCCCCTTCCCGCAGCCCCGCCTTCCCTTGGCGGGCTGGCGGCTCGCCGGGAGCGGGCACATKCCCGGGCAGAGCTGGGCCTCAGCCGGCATCAGCCCCGCCTCTCCAACCCCGCCGCGCCGCCCTGCAGCCTGGACAAGGCATTCCCGCATTCCGCCCCGGGCGGGCGCCCCTGCCAGCAACCGCGCCGCCCAGATTTTACACTCACACAAAATCGCAGAATCAGAATGGTTTGGGTCGGAAGGGGACCTTGAAGATGATCCAGTTTCAAYCCTCCCTGCCGTGGACAGGGACGCMTTCTACTAGGTAGACCAGGTCGCTTAAAGCCCCATCCAACCTGGCCTTGAASACTTCGAGGGATGGGACATCCGCAATTTCCCTGGACAACCTGTTCCAGCTCCTCATCATCCTCACAGTACGGAATTTTTTCCAATATCTAATCTAAAACATACCCTCTGTCACTTTGATACCATTCCCTCYTGCCCTGTCACTACATAAATAGTGCCCCAGCTTTCCTGTAAGTTYCCTTCAGGTACTGGAAGGCTGCAGTTAGGTCACCCTGAAGCCTTCTCTTTTCCAGGCTGAAATAAACACAAGCTGTTTGCAGTAAGGGAGAGAGCCATTTTACTGGGCCCTGGGATAAAGGGAATGGTTAATGAATCCGGTTCACCSACTCTCAGCACGTGCTTTACAATCCAAACCGCTTCAATCTCATACTAAGTAAATGGATACATACAGTTAGACAAATATTTGACCTGGGCACACAGCAAGGAGTCTTTGAAACAGTTACAATCTTCAGGCTCMGAGGATCGTTCCATTGCTTCTGGACTATATGAGTATGCTTTACACAGCTGCCTTGTAACATAAAGTCTGAACAATCAACACTGCCAAAATACCTGTGCTAGCTCCAGACAGAAGATGCAGCTCTGCCTCTTGAAACACAAGACAGTTTTGCCACATCCCTCAGTGACAGCAATTCCTACTTTTTTAGCCTTCTCAGGAATTGTTTTGACATTATCCTAGTCTGCACAAGCAGCTGCTTCATTTTTGTGAAACCYGGAAAGACCTGGAAACAAAACTAATCTTGGCTTTCTCTCACAGAATACCTGTAACAATGCCACTCCTCATCACATTACCTCCTGTTATAGCTCATTAAAAATGGTCTTTCATCTGTCACAAAAATTAAATTTCTAAACCACTCAAAGCACATGGATAAATTTTAGGTCTATTTTATTCTCTTAAGGGAACATTCCATTCCCCACTGTAAAACTAGTCTAGTATTCTTGACATGAACTTTGCACTTACAAAATAGTTTTGTCTGTATCTGTGTGTCTCTGTGTGTGTGTGTGTGTGTGTGTGTGCGCAAAAATATATTTTAATATATAAAAGCTGCTAAGCAATTTACAGTCATTACTTAAGTAATGACACAGCAGGACACTGGCTTTTCTGTGTTTCGCAAGATACCAAAACTGTGAAGTCTTTGAAGAAGTCAACAGCTTGTGAAAATGGCTCCTGAAATGGATTTAAATATTAACACTTGTACCACCTAAACTAGTACAGTATGAACAGAWGCATCTAAGTACTGATAGCTAGGTTCAAAGTTTAAAGGAACTTAAGAAACTCATGTGCCTGTGATCATGCCAAATGCTGATAACGTGTATGCRTATGTATTTCTGAGTTAAACAAGAGTGATGTCTGAAGCAAGTAAATTTAGTCTTCCCTTTCCATTCTTGTCTACCTCTACTCTCCTCCCTTCAGAAACACCTCTCTCTTAGTGTTAAACTAAGGTAAAACAATAATGAATAAATACCTGAAAATATTAACTGGACTCCACTAAGCATTTTAGACCCTTGTGGAACTTAGTTGTTCCATTAATCCCGTTCCTTGTGTTTGTTCAACTGCTAGTTCTGCTTAACATAYACACATCTCTTCACACAAAGTATGAATTCAAGTACTTTCAATTAGGCACAGAATTTGGCACATCAACTATTTACTTCAAAGCCAARGGTTGTGCTCAGTAATGGAAAATACTCAAACCATCTCAGAGTAATTTGCAACAGCACAATATTTCAGGCATGTTTTCGAAGTATCTGGCAAGAACTCCAACTGGGCATGAGAATGCTGGCAACCTGCTTAATTTTACCCTTTCTCATTGGGCAACTCAGCTGCACAAACCATCCCTGTGCCCAAGGAACTTCATGAGAGAGGTCAGTGTAGGTACTTTTGCATGGCTATGGATGGGATTTTTGAGGGCTTAGTTTCTGCTATGTGTATAAACATCTTGTAAAGTTTAAAAGAGCAAAAATACACCGCTACATCCTCAGGAAGCTTTAACAGGGTCTCTGGTGACCACTTCCCTGCTGCATTTCACAAAGACAGCTGAACAGAAGAGTCCACTTGCACAGCATGCAGTGYCACATACAAGAAACTTAAGGGACTCTGTTTAAGGCCTAAACTTCTAGAACAAACCCACAKAAATCAACAGGACTCTCTTTTTCTTTTGACACAATGAGATTTTTGTCTTTAACACTCTTCCCATATGAACTGCGTTGCTGAGATAAATATGCTTAGGATTAATTATGTCCCAGACTTTCAACAATACCAGTGGTGTAAATGGCACATTTGCCTTTACCACAACGCTGCTGCCATAGAGACCCTGCTGCTGGGATGCACAGGATGAGGATAGCTGAATCTTCTTGCTAACAACATGCAGACTCCTTATTGTACCTACATAAAAATCAGAGATGCTGCATGCAGAACCTTTCTGGTTTGCTGGTCTATCTTTGTACATTGCATTAATATAAYCAATACCTTTAAAAATAAAATTGCAGTAAAAAATCCATACCCATCCTTTCCACTGCATACATTTAATATTGTTGAGGAACTAGTTTCCTTGTTTAAAGATAACTTTCAGTTTTGACTGGCAGTAATATCAATGTATCCATCCCCTGAAACACAAATGCACAGAATGAAACAGTTCTTAATCATAAATAGCACCATTAAAAAAGTCTAACACACAAACAYACAAACATACACACAAGTTATGTATTTGCCAGTACCTGACATGAGGGGCTAGGAATTTCAGATGAAGGATGAGATGGGCAGTCACTATTATTTTCCAGGTGATTCTTTCTACAGAGAGCTATTATGACAGACAGTAAAGCMGACTGGTGACACAGACTTCCTTACAAGCTGTTGTCACTCAATGCACACTCAATTGTGGAGCACTAAATCTTGAAATAAAAGCTCTAACAAGTAACCAATGTACAGCAGTGCAGGAACAGAGTACTTGCTCACCCTGAAGACACAGTCTGAAGTGACTCAAGTCCCAGYAAACATTTCTGCCAGAGGTGTCATTATTCTACTTGTGTGCAAACTTCAGTCCAATGAAGACATTAAGACTACAGCCTGCTGGCAGACACTGGTATAGGACAGCTGAGCCCTTTGTGGGCCAACTGATCTGTACCCATGCAAGAACCTACTATTCTGATTAAAAGCAAAGCTGCTATTTTATAAAAGAGTAATGGAAATAGTTTGGTCTTATGAATTGGGATTAGCCTGTAAAGCAGCTAAGTGTGTGGGAAACTGATTTCCCCTCTACCCCATTTGATAAAGGTGAGTCACAAAACAATCACTGAGCTAGAAATAAATCATTTATTTTAAAACAATACAGGTTAATAAATAGATTAGTTATCAGAAAACTTAATAAATAGCCTTTTATAATTTACACAAGGCAAATACAACATGCCTATAACTATTTCTTAAAAAGCAAAGAGAGTAAGCTTGACTTGTAAGCCATTAACAAATCTATATATACATTATTTGGAAGCTAATAAAATAAACCATTTTTATGTAATCTGTAGTAACTATATTGCAAGAGCATTGAAGCAACCAAACCTGACATTGTATTTTTGTTGCCAACTTGCCAACTACCTTTTCCCCATATCCCATCAGAACTACTTTTTATGTTCCAGGAAAAAAAAAAAGGAAAAATAATTTAAAAAAAAAGAAAGGTCCACAGTTGAAAAAAAAAAAGACTTAAAAATATCCCTTTTGTGTAATATTTTCCAGTCTACAGAGCAACTGTCTGGGGAAGGGTGTGGACATATTAGGACCCAACACAACCACAAACAATAAAGAAACTTCAAACTTATTTGAAGCTTTTAAAAAGATTTCTTAATCCGTAACATTTCAACACTGCTGTCTGATACATATGGGCACTAGTAATAATAACTGTTGACAACATTGGTGCCTAATACAGTACACACTAAAATTCTGCGTCCTGTAAACCCATAAATAGCACCAAAGAATTATTACAAAGAAAACAGGTAATAGATAAACATTTGATAATGCTTGATTTAACAATAAAACTTCAGCAGTTACATCATCTCAAGACAACCAAGGAAGATGTGTAGAATCCTTGATGTCTTYTGTTTATGAAACAAGAATGTGAGAGGGGTACAATGTATAAACAACTTCCCATCTAAAGCACCCCCATTTAGTAACCCCAAATTTCTTAAAATACAAATCTTGTATTATTTTTAAATAAAATGAAAGCTAAACCTCACTTTCTAGTGTTTCAACAACTTAATCCAGTGTTTCCATTTTTCAGTGCTAGTTACTTCAGAAAAATACATATATTCCAATATAAATCAGTATTATTAATAGGAAGCCTCACTTGTCAAACTGTGATATGACAGGTTCTTATTAATGTTAGCTGCAGCTCACTAATAAATAGGCTCTATTTACACATACAGAGTCCTGGAAAGTCAATACAGCAGATAACTTGGTTAGATATTTTTTTTTACAGAAGTATTTAAGGTGTAACAAATGTGKTTTTTTGGTTGTATCAAAAAGGTTCCTATTCTCTTACTGAACATTTGAAGGATTTATGTGTTTGACACCTAATAGAGATCGTGACTCCACTAACAAATGCAAATCCTCCATACACTGAAGGGATAATGATCAAAGAGCTATCCTCAAGTGAGTACGAAGTAAATTTGTTTGACAAGTGTAACAGAAGTCAGACATATGGAGTGAAGAGCCTTCAGTATGGATTTGAACGCAATTCAAATGCATTCTACCACTGTAAAGAGTCCACTTTTTGCATGTGTAGCCTCTCCCACTTCTACTTTGGAATCAGAGCTGAACTCATCTGGCTCGCAGCTATCAATGGACAGAACACAAAGAACATGAAAAGGGCAAACCCATTAGGGATGCCAGAGCTCAGGAGACAACTATGCACATTTTCTCCCTGAGATGATGGAACTCGGATATCTTGTTGAAAGTGCTTATTTGTCAAAGGTGTGGGAAAAAAGGGGGAACAGCTAAAATTCAATTTCAACAGTGCCTCCTTTTAAGTCAGAAAAGCAATGAGACAAAAAACGGTAGGACACCTAGAAAGAGGAGGGCGTGGGATGGAGGGGGAAAGAATCATATCAACAGTGACAACAGAAAATGCTAATACATTTCTAAAGTTAGAACTGAACCAGATCCAGGTACAGCAGAACTTGAAAGAATGCTGCTACACACTGAAAAAGGAGCAATTTTCAGTATTCCATTATTTAGCATTCAAGAAGTAAAGGCTGCAGATACAAATGATGTGCAAGGCCACGAGAATTTCTTTCACCTTATGTGCTGGCTTTTGACATTTCTGTTTTAAACATCAAGGTTAACTAGACATTTCTAGAAAGCTCAGCACAGATGAGGAGCAGCTGGGGAGAAGAGAACTATGGTGACATATATCAGTGGTAAGGATGGTCAGAGGACCGCAGAACATGGTTGCTACTTTATTCTTCCTCTGCAYAGTGAGCACTTACCAAGTAAACTTATATGGTGCAGGAAATGTTAAGGTTTAGACAGGGCAATCAAGTTATTTTGAATCTAATATTTACTAATAATTTGCATATGCATCTAATGTACTAGGACAGGCACTTTATAAATAATTAACAATTAATTTTAAAACCAAGACAAACAAATATGGCCAAAGGAAGAATAAGATGAGACCACAATMATTTCTATTCTGACCTAAAGATTTTTGCAGAAATCTTCAGAGATTAAAGGCTAATACAAAACCAACAGAGAGCTCATGAACTCCAAAGCTGAATTTTGAAGACAACTTGATTGCTTCAGGAAACAGGTAACATTGTTTTAACAAGTAGGTTAGTACAGGTCTCGAAATCTACGTGCAATTCCAGGTTCAATCAAAAAGAAAAAAGGGAATTAATATGACAAAATGTAACTGTTTGCTGAGAACCAAGATACCATCTTTCCAATCAATAACAGACAGAGGCTAGTTTTAACCAAATTTCATAGCCCAATTACCCTCATCTATAATTCTCAAACTTTGTAAAAACTTGCACAATATTTGAAAATTCATGAAGATAGTCTTTTCTCTGCTCGTGCTATTCTATTTCATTAAGATACCCAGTTACTGGCTGGCCTACAACAATGCACATTTCTGCCAACTCAGAGCCATTCCTGTGCAATACGGAGTTATACAACAAGCTTGCAAATAACATAGTAGAGCTCTTACTCCTTCAGAACAGTCCCTTCAGAATAYTAAATCTTTAGGATTCACTTTCACATTTACTGCTGCCATTAGTAAGGCTTATAGCATTCCTTTTAAATGAAAATGGAGGCTGAGTTTTAAGGAAACATCAGTTCAGGTCAACAAAAAACATCACAAGAGCAGACAGTATTACTCCCCACTAATCAACATTCATGTTCCTGTCAGGCAGCTACAAAGCAACATWCATGATTTCTAAAGTGTTGTGAATTTTCTCAAATACTGTTTTGTAATCACATTYGGATTTTCTGTTTGTATCAGGAAACATTTTGATCTAGAGACATTGAGTTCCACTGTACTCTTCCTTTATTGTACTTATATGGAAACAAACACTCATTGCTTTTGAAGCTTTTAGGTTTTTGACTCATGATGTTTTAGCAACCAAATACAAGTAGAACATGAAATTAACTATTTCRTTCTTTAACATATCAATATTCTCTAAATGGTTTAAACTGAACTGTTCAGTCATCCCCATCATTGCTTAAGCTGTACTACTTGTGAAAATATTACAGCTGAACCGTTCGCATAGGTCTGTGAATTACTGATCTGAATGTATGTCCCTGTCAGTCACCTAAAACTCAGCTCTCTGAATGCTTTAGTTTTTTCAGTCTTTAGCCTCCTTTTCCCACATTACAAGGGCATCAGACCATCTTTTTTGAGCTATGAGAAACCTCGTGCTCTTCTCTCTCCTAAGTGTCCTTTTTTTGTGGTCCCTCTTTATTAYCTGTTTCAGAAATGGGTCCCTCTTTATTAGCTTTTTCAGAAATGGTCTCCTGCATTTAGTCCCTAAACTAAGAAAAAGGTATGCTGGACTGATTTTGACACTCTTCTTCTTTCCATTAAGATTATGAATTTTTCAGAAGCTGTCAAGGCATCCAGGGGGTTCAGTTCCATTTTGCACATTCTTTCAAAAACACGTGGTCCTTCTAGATGCTTTATTTGTTTAGAATTTGAATATAGTCCAATATTGTAGACAGTGAAATTGAACTATTAAACCAGTATAGGCCATCTGAAACAAATACATTCACAATTACGGAGTATTTTTTGATTGCAAAGGCACTGAAACAGTTCGGAGCTGCTTACAAATAAGCTACCATGTAGGCAATGAGTCTGTGCATCACTTCCACATCCTTCACAGTCTACCTGCTCCCAATTAAAAGCTCTCAGATGAATGCAGTATGTCTTAATGTGTGTAAGTTACAAAAAAAAATGCATACCTGGACACTATCATGAGCTGATAAGTAATTAGTGAAATATATTTAAGGGTCCACTGCTCTGTATAAAGAATTCAATTTAAAACTCCCCAATGTCTTCACCGCCTGGCGAAGTTGCCAAGAAAGTCACTAAAAAGAACGAATCTGCAGTCCATGATCCAACCAACATTTGTCTGAGAATTCACAGCCTTGACAGTGAAGACATTGCTATACTGAGGTTCACAGATTGCTCCACTTACTTCCCCGCCCGCCCCC